GCTAACCATGTATTGAAAATTAGAATTTTATGTTGTTATGCATACTTTGATTAATAGAGTACAATAATAACTTTGATTTTCTAATTGGCTTATTATATATAAAAACACAAAATATAAATATTATTGAAGGTTTTTATAAACAAAACTAAAAAATTAAAAACTTATATTTTGACATAGGTTGACATAGTCCAAATCAAATAGAAAAAAAAAAAAATCTCCAACTTTTTAAGTCTAAGCCTAAATAATTGCACACGTTTTATGCTTCATAATTTTTGATATAAAAAATTCAATATAAAATTACAAACCCCCCCCCCCCCAAAAAAAAAAACAAAGGAACCTACTATAACATAATGGATTTTTTTTTTTTCTATGAAAAGTATATTTGGCAAAAAAAAAAATTAAAATTCAAGATTCTCAGAACACTTACAATTATGTAAGATTTAAGAATATTGAAGAACACTAAAACACAACTGTAGAAGTTATTTGTTCTGACCATCACAAACCCATTAAGTAAAGAGAAATTTAGCCAAAACCCCACCATTGGACCCTTATTTGATGAAAAGAACAGTCCAATTTATTTGCTTCATAAACTCTCTAAGGAGAAAATACATAATTGAGTAAAGACAAAATAAAATATTCTTTTTTTTTTTTCCTTAGACAATATTGATTGAGTAATATGTTAGAGTAACATATTACTATCAAACAAAGAAACCGTCAAAAAGAATAATATGTTACTGTGAGACAGAGTAATATGTTATTGTTACTGTTTACATCAATTTCAATGATAGTAATTTTTTTTTTATTTTAAGAATTTCATATTTAACATGGATCTTATTTGATAGATTTTGATGAGAGAATTCTAAAAATACTAATTTTATTAAAAATTAACATGTACATCAAAAGTTATACTATTATAAAGTTTAATATTTTGATAATAATGGTATATTCTAAATTTTTTAAGAAAAACTTTTTATACTTATTCTTAATGTATTAAAGTTTTATTATGAGAGGACTTTAACCAAATCCTCTTGTTAAACAAAGAAAATTACAAAATTGATTTTTCTAAGCTTAGAAAAGAAATTACATATTTGTTTAAATCCAAATATAAACGAAGTTGTTCATTCTGAATAACAGCAACTTGCAAAAAATATAAACGAAGGAATCTAATAACATAGTTTTCAAATATGATACTCAATTTTTTCTCCAAGAAATCTAATAACATAGTTTTTTTCTTTTACTTTTTAATGAAGAAAATAAAAAATGTAATTAATAATGATACATACAAAATATCAAAACACAAACCTATACTCTTGGAACACTTACAATAAAAAAAGATTTGATATACACAAAAAAATAATTAACTATTAATATAAATAATAAAAAAAAACCCAAAAAAAATTAAGACTATTATGTAGTCTAAACAATTGCACACACAAATTATGTAGTCTAATAACATAAATTTTTTTTCTTTTTACTTTTTAATGAAGAAAATAAAAAGTGTAAGCTATAATGGTACACGCAAAATACCAAAACATAAACCCATATTCTTGGAACACTTGCAGTAAAAAAGAATTAATATACAAAAAATAAATAATAATCTATTAATCTAAATAATTAAAAACCCAAAAAAAAAAAAATTAACATGTACATCAAAAGTTATACTATTATAAAGTTTAATATTTTGATAATAATGGTATATTCTAAATTTTTTAAGAAAAACTTTTTATACTTATTCTTAATGTATTAAAGTTTTATTATGAGAGGACTTTAACCAAATCCTCTTGTTAAACAAAGAAAATTACAAATTTGATTTTTCTAAGCTTAGAAAAAAAATTACATATTTGTTTAAACCCAAATATAAACGAAGTTGTTCATTCTGGATAACAGCAACTTGCAAAAAATATAAACGAAGGAATCTAATAACATAGTTTTCAAATATGATACTCAATTTTTTCTCCAACAAATCTAATAACATAGTTTTTTTCTTTTACTTTTTAATGAAGAAAATAAAAAATGTAATTAATAATGATACATACAAAATATCAAAACACAAACCTATACTCTTGGAACACTTACAATAAAAAAAGATTTGATATACACAAAAAAATAATTAACTATTAATATAAATAATAAAAAAAACCCAAAAAAGTGTAAAAATTAAGACTATTATTTTTTTAAAATAAATTTTTTTTTATGAATATTGAATTGTTGTTTTTTAAAAAAACACACACACACAAAATTACACAAACAAACAAACCAATTTTTTGAAAACATAAATTATAAGCACACAAACACAAATGTTGATATAAACCAAGAAAAATAATAATCAATTTTTTTTTAAACCTAATAACACAATGAAACATTTCATTTTGTAATTTTTTTTTTATTTTTTATAGAAAGTATAACTAACAATATTACACAAAAAAAAATATATAAATAAAAACCCAAGACACTCATTTTATTTGATTTTTTTTAAGAGCATTGGATTTTATTTTAAATAACAGACGCACAAAATTAAGTCAACAAACAAATCAAAATTTTAAAAACTAAATTTATACACAAAAAACAAACAAAAGCTTTAAAAAGTGAAATGGGAAAAAAACCCCGCAAACTTTTTAAGTCTAATCTAAGTCTAAACAATTGCACACATTCTACGCTTCGGAATTTTTTTTTTATAAGATAAAAAAAAATTAATATAAACTTATACTATACATTTTTTATTTTATTTTTTTGGGAAGGAACTTGATAACATAATGGATCTTTTTATTTTTTATGAAAATTAACAGTAATACACAAAAAAAAAATACAAAAATACAAATTGAAGACTCTCAGAACACTTATAATTATGTAAAATTGCAGAACACTGAAGAACACTATAGCTATGTAAAAATTTTTAAACACATCCAAAAGATTTAAAAATGCTTTTTTTAACAAACAAATGAAATCAATGACTCTTAAAACACTTCCAGATAAAGATATTTAATATACACTTATAGTTTAAAAAAAGTTAAAATAAATTTTACGAACATTGATTATTTTTTATACTGTTTTATTCAAGAACCTGAACACTAGCAAAAAAAAAATACAAAAATACAAATTTAAGACTCTCAGAACACTTATAATTATGTAAAATTGCAGAACACTGAAGAACACTATGCCTCCGTTTGGGAAGTGGGTTGGCTTTTTGACTTTTTGGCTTTTTTGGCTATTTTAGCCTGGGCTTAAAAGCTTGGTTTGGGAAGAGCTTTTTGGCTTTTTGGCTTTTTTGAGTTTTTTTGTGAGAGAAGAATGTAATGATTATGGGTTGGATGTGATGTTTTGTTTGTTATTGCTAAAATAGCCTATTTTGTTTTTTGTGGCTAAAATAGCCAAAAAAACCTGCAAACCTACTTGCCAAACACAGGCTATAGCTATGTAAAATTTTTTAAACACATCCAAAAGATTTAAAAATGCTTTTTTTAACAAACAAATGAAATCAATGACTCTTAAAACACTTCCAGATAAAGATATTTAATATACACTTATAGTTTAAAAAAAGTTAAAATAAATTTTACGAACATTGATTATTTTTTATACTGTTTTATTCAAGAACCTGAACACTATTAATGAAGAGAATAAAAATCATAATAAACTGTATTACACAAAACTCTTAGTGATAAAGAGATTTGATATACATTTACAGTAAAAAAAAATTAAAACAAATTTTTAAAAAATAAATTTTATAAACATTGATTATTTTTTATGCTGCTTTTTTTTTTTTTTTTCCAAAGAAACTAAACACTATTAAGACAACAAACAAATAAATCAAATCCAAACAATTACATCAAAACACAAATAATGTACATAACATAGTATATAAAATTGTTGTATACATTAACTTGAATTCAAAATAAATAAAATTATGAATTTTCAATATACAATATGACATGTGCATCCATACATACATGATATAAAAAGATTTAAAGTACGCTTCTCATAAACAATTGCATCAAAACACAAATGATGCGAGTCATATAGAACATAAAAATCGCCCCCACATTTTTCGGCATAAACCTCGCATGATCCCATTCCCTTGCGTACGAACTCCCACCACCAATGAGTAATTTGGAATATATAATAACATATATGATTGATAGATACATACATACATACGTATGAAAACAAAGAAGATGGGAGTTACCTTATAGAAAGAAGCCTATGATGGTGAAATGTTTGTAAAAGGTGGGAGTTCTTCAGCATGGGAAGTTATATTTTGTTGGTAATTTATAATTGATATCAGTTAAAAATAGTATAAATATTGAAGAAGTAAAGGGTATTTTAGAAAAATTAGTAAAAAATTATGAGAACATAGCTACAAGACTCCAAGGTAATTGTTGACTTTTAATAATAATAATATAGATATGTTTGTGTTTGCTTTTTAATTTTTTTGTAATTTTTGGGTTTGTGAATATTTTTTTGTATATGATTTTCTGAAGATGAAAGGAAAGAAATATAATTGAGTTGGATGATCTGGCTAAACCTTGTGGGCAAAATTGTCTTCCGCATTGTAATACCAATCCCTTGATTTCTAATACCAAGTCATCTGATCTATGTCAATCCGCTCGTTGGATTTCACAAACAAATATTGTGAATCCACAACACTATTAATCATAATTTCAAGCCCCAACTCAAAAAACAAACAAAAGAGAATAAGGGATGTCATAACTCAATTACCACATATGTCAAAAGGCAGCGAACCATATACAAACTATAATACTTATAAAATTAAAATAATATTATATGCATCAATTAATATATTAACAGATGATATGATATAAATTTAAAAAATTTAAATTTTTATAATTTGTGTTATAAGTGAAATTATAGTGTTAAAGTAACAATATCATAACCTATATTGATATGCTAATTGATATGTATAACATCACCAAATTAATTATTACAGATGTGATAATTTAATTTTATGAGAACATAACTGAAAAAATAATTTCTACCAATCACTATAATTAATTTTTTTTTTAAAATTATAACTAAAATAATATTATAATTAAAGATGGTAATCAAATTACAACTAACATTCCAAATCCAATGATATATAACAAAACGTGTACAGGTCGTCACCACGGGATATGATACACACCCTAACAAAGCGAAGCTGGTAACTAGGGCATACGATCCAAAGTCTCTGTAATGAAACTGATCATCTTCTTCACTCCAAATTAGTATGACGAGATCGAATTGCCTCAGAACTCTCACCCAAAACCTCACTCAATCTAAACACAACCATCTCAAACAACACAAACATCGCTCCTTCATACACACTCCCCATCGGAAGCAGCCCCCCAGATCCACCACCACCACCACCACCATCATCCGCCATTGTCTGCGCCGGAATATGAGCAATCACAGTCGCATACTTCACCGACGATCCGGACTCGGGCTGAGCGGTGAGCAGTAGAACGCGAGCGCCGTTGGATCTGGCGACGCCGCAGATCGCATCAACGGTGGAGAACCCGCCGGGACCCGCGGAGGCGATGAGAAGGTCGGAGGAGGAGATCGGAGGAGTGGTCATGTCGAAGACGCAGTGGGAAGAGAGTCCGAGGTGAGAGAGTCTCATGCATAGGGCTTTGAGCATGAGGCCTTCTCGGCCGACTCCGTAGACGAAGATTTGGGATTTCCGGGCGGCGGCGCCGGAGATTTCCGCCACCATGAGGTCAAGCGGCGGCGCAGTGGAGGTGGGGATGGTGAAGACGGAGGCTATTTGGGTGCATATTTGGGAGGCTAAGGATGAAATTGGAGTTGTAGGTTCTTCTGCCATTGATGACCATATACAAAAGCTCTCCAAATTGGGTTTGCCTCACTTGCACATATGCCTTATCCTCTGTGGTTTGTGATTTGGTTGTTTTTTTATTTTTGTGTTTTTATAATAAAAAAAAATAAAAATTAAAAACTAAAAACATTGGTTGGTTTCAATTTTTAAAAATTGAATTTTTTATTTTTAGTTTTTTTTTTCAGTGATATTTTTTAATGTTTTAAATAAGTTTTTATTTTTTAAATATACAGTAATCTAAATATATTAAAAAATAAAATATTTAAAATAAATATTAAAAAATTAATAAATATAGAAGAATACGAAAAAAATATATATATATTTTATATTTAGTGAATTTTTTTAAAAAATATCCACAACTATTATATCTCTTAATTATATTTATATTAAAGGTATCTAAAAAGTAAAAAATTATTTAAAATAATACAAAAAATTACGAAAAATATAATTAAAAATCCAAAAAATAAAATACGTAATTTATAAAAATTGGAACCAAATAAAATATTGTTTTCACAATACGTACGTGTTTGTTTATGCGGACACGTACTTGAGATTGAATTAATAATCTAACAAAATTAAAGCAACGCTTGAGAAGAGATAAATTAGGTTTTTTTTGGTTATTTTAGTTACAAAAGATAAAATGAGCTATTTTAGTCACAAAAAATAAAATATCACATCTAATTCATAATCATTACACTCTTCTCTCACAAAAAAAGTCAAAAAAGCTAAAAAGTCCTTCCCAAACCAAACTTTTTAACCCAGGCTAAAATAGCTAAAAAAATCAAAATGTCAACCCACTTCTCAAACTAACCCTTAGACTAATAGTCCTTCAGGATATTGAGTGCTCGTTTGACAATGACTTTTTTATTTAGTTTTTTTGGCTTTTTTAACTTTTTTAGCTTGAAATTTTTTTGGTTGTTTGATATTTTTGTTTGGCTTTTTTTGGTTTTTTGGCTTTGAAATGGCAATTTTTTTTGGCTAAATTACACTAACAGTTCCTGTGGTTTATATTTATTACAGTTCTCCCTCATCTTTTAGAAATTACATCTCCCTCCTAAGGTTTAAAGTTTCATTACAAATTCCTCTCTCAGCAATTTAATTTTTTTAAATATCAATTTTGCCCTCACTAGGTAAATTACATTGACACCCCCTCACATTTTAAAAATTATAATCCCATCCCTAAGGTTTAAAGTAGCATTACCAATTGTCCCATCGGTTAGTATTAGTTGGAAAAAAAATTAATTGAAAAAAAAAATTGTTAGTAAAATTTTTAAATTTCTGTTTAAAAATCAACGTAAACTCATTTTTTGAATTTACATTTTTTCCTCAAATTTACAAACTGAGACAACTATTTATAAACTAAAAAAGTTATCAAATAATTTTTTATGACAGTTTTTAAAATTTTTGTAAATATAAATTGAAAACGAAATGGTAACTAAATAGGTTTCAGATGATAAAAATATCGTAAAATTAACAAATAATTAAAGAAGTTACCAACGTAAGAAATGACTTATTAAAAGATTCTTAGGTTATATATGGTTTGATTTTTAGAATTTTTTTTTAAAAAATTAAAAATTAATTTGGTTAAGAAATAAAAAATAAAAATAATTATCATTTTTATATAATTTTTATCTTTCAAGTGGTTGGAAATAATTTTTTACAAATTAAATTGAAACAACCATACTTATGTATATAATCTGCCCAAAAGGTAAAATGATATTTATTTTTTATCCTTAAATGATAATTATTTTTTATTTCTTAATCAAATTAATTTTTAATTTAAAAAAAAAATTCTAAAAATCAAACCATACATAATATAATATTTTGATAAGTCATTTCTTACGTTAGTAACTTATTTAATTATTTATTAATTTTACGACATTTTTACCATCTGAGACCTATTTGGTAACTATTTCGTTTTTAGTTTTCAATTTATATTTACAAAAATTTAAAAAATTATTATAAAAACTTATTTGATAATTTTTTTGGTTTATAAATTGTTGTCTCAGTTTGTAAATTTAAGAAAAAAACGTAAATTCAAAAAATGAGTTTATATTGGTTTTTAAACAAAAATTTAAAAATTTTACTAACAAAATTTTTTTTCAAATAATTTTTTTCCAATTAATTTTTTTTTCAATGAATTTTTTTTTTCCAACTAATACTAACCGAAAGGGCAATTGATAATGCTACCTTAAACCTTAGGGAGGGGATTGTAATTTTTAAAATGTGAGGGGTGTCAATGTAATTTACCTAGTGATGGCAAAATTGGTATTTAAAAAAATTAAATTGCTGAGGGAGAGAATCTGTAGTGAAATTTTAAACCTTAGGGGAAAGATGTAATTTTCAAAAGATGAGGGAGAATTGTAATAAACATAAATCTCAGGGGGTGTTAGTATAATTTACCCTCTCTTTTTTTTTGTCCTTTTATAATTTTTTAGCCCCGTGAGGAAAACCAAACGACCCCATGAGAGGATACAAAATGGAAAGCTGAAGAGAGGTTTAGGCTAATTAGTTAAATTGTAAAATTGGTAGAATGTTGTCAATCTCTCTTCATAATTTTGAGTTAATCTAAACATGTGATATAATGTATAATTCAAAATGATTGACAATCCTAGGACGCTTAGTCTTAGGACATGCTAATCTTAATTAATTTAGTTCATCCAAATAAATATGGCTTATGTTCTTCTTTATTGTGAATAAGTTTTGGAGTAATTAAAAGGAAAATATTTATTTGAAAGTCTCATCTCATAAAAATATGTATAGGAAAGTCTTATGAATTTTATTATAGACTATTAAGTCTCATTGAATTTGAAAAGGTACACTATAAAGTCCTTTCACTTGTGGATATGTTACTTATGCACAATCGTCTTATTAAAGTTTTGTTAAATGTATCATTCTTAAAATGTGACAGGAATATCATTTTAATATGTGTTTTGTTTTATTAAATTTTTCCAAATGTGTTCTTTTTAAAATATGACAATGAGACATTTATGCACTATTGTTTTATTAAATTTTTTCAAATGTGTCATTCTTCTTAAAATGTGACAATAAGACATTTGTACACTATTTTCTTATTAAATTTTTGCAAATGATGTTTCTAAATGTAGATATGTTTTATTTGAAAGATTTTAATGTGAAATAGAACTTATGTTTCCATAAAAATATTTGTAAAACTAAATGCTCCCCAAGTCATGGATATATAATTTATTAGTAAATGCTCCTAATTTAAAAGAATTTTTTGATGCTTCGTAATTTTTTTAATAAATAATTTGCCAAATAAATTACATTTTTCAAAAAGTAAAATTAAAATAGAATACGAAAATAGGCAATTAAAAAAGTTGGAGCCTTTTAAGAAAGGGAAGACCTCACAGTTTGGGTAAAGGACAAAGACTAAGACTCCCGGTGGAGGTGACCCCACCACCCCACTGTTTTTTGATTGGTCTAATTTTTATTTTTTATTTTTTTTTGGCCTTGGTCTCACAAATCCCCACATGGAGGTAGGGTGCTGGGGATCCCCAGCACTGCCGTTGGGTAAATTACACGGGCAGTTTTGAAGTTCAGCAAAAATATTATAAATTTCATAATTTTAATATAATTATATTAAAAAAAAATTAATATAGTTAAAGGGATTAAAATTAATATAGATAGTATAAAGATGGAAAGCTAAATCAAGTAAAATATACATTTGAGACTAAAAAATATGATAACATAATTTCTTATCCATATAATTAACAAATTATTAATTAAAATAAGGCTAAATGTTATATAAAGTAAAATTTTAAAAGAACTTAATATAATTATACTAAATTTATGAGATTTTAATTTATTTTTTTTTCCAAAACTTAGGAAAGGTCAATGTAATTTACCCTATTTAATTTTAGTAATTAAAATTAAAAAATGAATATGGGTTACTAATTATAGCCACGGGGGTGTTATCTCTAATAAGTAATATTTTTTATCATGTCCCATGTTATACCTTACTCTAATCAAACATAGTATAATAACTTATAATATATAATCTAATTTATAATTCCATGATATTATCAATTTCCAACAAGGCCCAAAAATCATATCCAGCAATCGAAGAGCCTAACATTGTGTTTGGTTGAGAAATTTAAAAAAAGATTTGAAAAAAGAAGAAAAAAAATATATGCAAAACTAAATAAAATATATGTATATTTTATTAACATTTCGCCAATTTTTTTCCTTTCTCTTTCCAAATCTTTTTCTAAATCCCCAACTAAATACAACTTAAGAGAATCCATGGCATAAATGAGATGTGCATATTTACAAGCAAAAAAGCATTTAGAAAGATACAAATTCAAAGTCATAGTATTTGTGCCTGATTAGCATATAAAACTGTAACAAGAATGCCGCAAAAACATATCATCACTATAGAATGTTATTTGGATTGAGCTTCTAAGCTCCATTAGTTGGAGGAGGTCGATGAGTAACATCATCACTGCCATAAATGTTTGTATCTTTCACACCATCTGTTACCGACGATGATGAGTGATTGGTCCTTCCATTTTTTTTCTCATCATCCTCATCGGATGCATCTTCAAGCATGGAACCTTTTCGCCTGAGTTCTTTCACTTTCCGGAATTCATCATAATGAGCTCGCCTATGCTCCCTAAAACTCAAGCTGTTCCTATCCGATTCAGAATCAGACAGAACTGTGAAACAAAATGGCAGACAGAGCACACAAAAATCACCAACCATCCTCGCACACGTGTCAGATAGAATACTGATAGTTGTGTTTGATAAAAATTGAGGTGCTGAGTTAAAATAAGTTTTTTGATATGTACTAAATGAAATTTAAAATTTATTATTTTCAAAAAGTTTCTTCCTTGTATATTGTGGTGGTGAGGTTGTGGATGTGGTGGCACGAATGGTTGTGGTGGGGTAGGGGATAGTAGTTATGGTGATGGTGAAGCTTGGTGTAGTGGAGGCAGATGGGTGGCGATGATGGTTGTGGCTATGGCAGTAGTAGCAAAGGTGGTGGTTGTGGAGGTTGAGAGATGTGGCAATGGTGGTGGAGAGGCGGTGGAAGCGGTTGTTTGGTGGTAGTGAAATGGTGGTCGCGCCTGTAGTGACGATAGCAATGGTGGTGGAGGGGTGGTGGCAATGGTAGCCGTGTTGGTGTTGGTGGCAGTGGCGGGGGTGTAGTAGTAGCGGTGATGGCGGTGGAAGTGAGATCATAATGGTGTATATCAATATTTATACATAAAAAGTTATAAATTCAATCAAAATTAATTAAAAACATTGTTACCTAAAATTTTCTTAATTTTTAACCTATATTTTAAGAATCACTCCAATTTTTAAATGATACTAATTGTGATTATCAAATGGACTTAATTGATTTTCAATCAATACATTCAGCTTTAAGTACTGAATTGAGTTATCAAGCACCACCTTAGTATTCAACCTTAAAGTCGCCTTCAGTTACTCCCTGTAATATGAGAAACTAATCAACAGAAAATAGTGGTAGAATAAATCAAGAACCTTCATCATGATCCAAAGGATCTGCCTCATCCTCAGAAGACGTCCAGCCACCGCATACCTGGGAGTTTTCGCCCCCACTGGAAGAACCCACATCATTCAAAGCAGAACGTATTGCATCTGCATGCACAGCATCAACGGTGCAATCCTCAAAACTACCCCTTCCAGGAGAAACAGATCCTGCACTAACAATGAAACTCAGCTAATATCAATCATAACAGTAATAATTTTTCAAAATAAAAGCGATGGTAATAGCCCTTTTCCACCATGCCACCATTTTGCACTAAGATTATTCTTAGAAATTAGGAAATCACCACCAGGACAAACCTTTCACTGTACTATCAGATAGTGTGACAAAGCAAATTTACGGATATTAATCGATGTGATCCCTCCAAAAACAAAGGGCTTCCACAAAACTCCATAAGAATGCATCCCATATTGCACCATGTCATGAATTAACAGTGCACAAATAAATACGTGTATCTATATAGCGAGTTTGAAAACCCTTTAGCAGATAATAGCAGTTAAGTGCCTTAACTTCTGAACCATCAAAACTACATGACTTTGTATAGAATATGGATACACACATATTCATAGAGATGAAATTAGTCAACATACCATCATCATTATAACTACTAGTAGGGTGATATGGTGTCTTCGGTTCAGTTATTTTCTGCCTCACGGGTTTATTTGCTTCAATTTCCCCAAGATTATCCTCATTCCATCTTACACGGCCCCTGGCACCCCAATAAAAATAAATGCTCACATCAGCACAATTTGCATAGATATCTCATACACTGATGAAGCTTACATTAGTAACAAATAGCAGTAGCAAAACAGCAATATCATAAGAATATAACCCAATATGTTGCCTATCAATATGAAGTAGAAGCATAAAGTTTGGTGCCTTCTTTCCCTTACAGAAAGCCATCCCGACCATGGCATGCCTATTAAGGAGTCATCCCGACCATGGCACGCCTAATAAGGACAAGTGTGTTGTCAGGTTTAATGACCCGCTATCAAATCAGTATCATGATGGTGCCAATACAAAATAGTAAGGTCCTAAGAAAATCTTGAATCCAAACAAGAAACCAATATTTAATCAAGGATACCTGAAAAAAGTCCGGCACTTTTGGCTATTGACTACATTTGATGTAAGCTATTTAGAAGTAGCAGTGAGGACTAAAGTGCTAGGCAACACTGCCCATGTACAATCTGATGTAAAAATTAATCTAAGACAGTGCTAAACCAATTTAACAAGTTCTGTTTTTTTACTCTTTTTTTTTTTTTTTTAAAAGGTGTTTTACTCTTAAATATAAAAGGTTTTGTTTCTTTAAAAAAGGTGGTGCAATTGGGAAAGGGTTATAAAGGCAAAGTTTTGAAATTGTGCCGAGGTTGTGAGCAATAATATGTCTTTTCTTTCTTAATTGCAGTAGAATTATTTAAGCTTGTAAAAGATGATCTTTTTTCCAAGGTAATTGAAGGAGTTAACAAGTATCTCTAGGAAATTTGGTCTAGGCTGCCTACAACTGGGATTGTTTTGGGTTTTGATTATGGACAGCTTCTAGGGTTATGGCTTCTTCGAGGGAGAAAAGGATTTCTAGGGATAAGAGATGAAAAGGTGTGACATTGGTTTGATTTTAAAAGTGTCAGCTTCATAGATTTCCAAAATAAAGGCTGTTAAAGGCCTGAATGGTGAGTGGTTCAGCGTTTAATGGCCAAAGTTGAAGACTAATAGGTAGGGAAATGGATTATGATTGATTTGGACATCATTGGATAGATTTTGAGGGTTGAAAAGTTCACTTTTGAAGGATGTGAACAGTAACTTGAGAAAAATAATTGGTTTATTGACAAAGAAGCAGGAAGAGATGTTTCACCATCACATGGGTTAGGAAAATTCACACAAATACATTCTCAAATTCACATAATATCATCTCTCTAAAGAAGAGACTTTTCTTACTTGACAAGGACTTGAATTAATTAACTAAAAATATTTGGTAACTACAAAAATTCTAAATTAACTAAAAAGTCACTAAAAAAATCAAAAAGCCAACAACATAAACCAAAAAGTCAAAAGTTCTCTTTTCTCTCTACTTTTTGAACATATTTTCGTAAAAAACCAAAAGTCATTCCAAACATACTAGTTTTTTTTACATCATATTTTAGCTAAAAAGTTAAAAAGTTACTAAGAAAGCATGTTCCCAAACGAGGCCAAATTCCAAATAAAATTCAAATCTAGGTTACCTGGAGCATAGATCGTTTCGATACGTGGAACGAGCACGGGGAACGTAGTACACCACATGCTCTCAAATGTGGTATGATAGAGGTAGACTTGTATAGATTACACAACAAAAATGAAGGTACTTTTACAAAAAATTTCTTTTAACAATTATTATCCAATAAAATGTAGTTTTTTTCCCCCCTTAAATGAATAATGCAGCAACACATTTTTATAATTGTTGAAACCCATTTTTGACAATTTGTCCGGTCAAAACTTCACTCACCTTAAATTTTAGTTCATTATATTTAATTTTTTTACTTCTAAGAAAACCTTTAGGAAACATATTGGAAACAATCTTCGGGATCGCTTAGGATCACTAAATTTACCATTTTGAAACGAAAGTGTACCATATTTCAGAATGTGCGTTCCAAAACGTAATTTGCTAGGGTGATAGCGTTTTCTAGTAACATTGATTCAAATAACATTACTTGACTCTTCATTGGCCCCAAGGATGGACTATGACTACTACTCATATCCAGCAAGTATTGAAATTACCAGATTACCCCTAACTACTGAACCCTAATATAATAACACAATATTTGTCCAACAACATAATAAACTTTAAAAAAAAAAAACACAATAAAAGACTTAAAACTATTCCAAAACTTCATTCCGTTATGCGCTAAACCTGTTCTATACTCTCCATCACAAGGTCTGATTATGAAGTTTGAAGGTTTGTAAAGAACATAAGAGTTAAACAAAGAAGAAGAAAGTTGCAGAAGAAGTTAGCCATCAACCTTAGAATCCCTCAAGCATCAATACATAAGGTTATAATTGCACAGCACAATCCTCAACGAACGCTATTCATAGAAAACTTTTACAATACTTGTTCTAATTGAATTGAATGAGTTACAACTGATTACAGACTTCTTCATACTCCGTACTCTAGGACTTCAACACCAACTTGGGGGGGGGGGGGGGGGGGGGGGTCGTGTAAGTTCATAATCAATCTAAAATCTAGTAAAATGTAAAGACTCATTAACTGATTTGGCCCATAATAAGACTCATCAACCACTAGCGAATCCCAAACCAAAAATCTTCAACTTTTAAAGTTGAAGAAACTTGTATAAAACAAGGAGTGCCACTTGAGTATCAAATCCCTCAATTAAATGAGCCCTTTTAGGCCTGACATTTTTATAAGACGTAGGCTCATCAAAGTGGCATCAACATAGGTCCAAGTGTTACAACCTTATCAACCAAGTAAGTCAATTTTTGATAGAAGCATAATGAGATTGGGTGGGGGACTCTCATGGAGGAGTCATGAAATTTGATGGGGGCAAATGTCACAATTATTGTTAACATGTTGTCACTTGAAAATAAAATCCCTAGGTCGGGCAGGCTCATATAAGGTTGATCCTTTTAGAAACCTCAGCCCATCATTTACGCTCAGAAGAACCAAGTTTTGGATCCTTGACACTTGCATGGAAACATATCAATATAAGGAGGCAAACTAACCAGCTGAAGCTAAGCAGGATGAACAATGATTCTATTAAAACAAAACAATGTCTTGTTTACTGTAATTCATTCGGATCCTTTTATCTTTTGGAAAGTACTAGTATAAACAATGTGCTTACTAAACCAACAATCTTAATGAGCCAAAATATTTGAGGTGCGTAGCTTATATTACTTCATTCTGTAATCCGGTTATGTTCTAAATCCCCAAAGCACACAATCCCCAAAGCACACCAAGTAGTTGCTAGTTGTCCCAATTATCCTGAAATAAAAATAGATCCACTTGTTACAAACAAATTGAATATAGTTTTTCACAAGAACAAGAGTGTAAAAATATTGAAGTATATTATTGATTGATGTATTACAAGATTAATAAATTACAATTCCTATACAATCTATATATAGAAGAAAATGTGGTAGTAGGTGTAGTGGAGGTGATAGTGGGTTAGGTGAAGTGGAGTGTGTGGTGAAGTGGAGGTAGGTGAAGTGGAGTGTGTAGTGGAGTAGGTGAAGGTAAAGATGGGAAATTCTAACAAAGAGTGAGGACTCACAATTAGTTATGTTCAAACCAATATTTACATGTCCCCAAATGAGATATGACAAAGGTGACTAGAGATCTCAAAGGTGAAATATAAGAAAAAGAAAATTTTCAATGATGGAAAATATAAACATAATCAAAAAGCAAACATTACATCAGAACAAGGATATAATACAACAAAAGAAAGGATAAAAAAACCATTGAATAATAACATCCAATAAAAAATGCAAATCTATTTATACAAATGGCAGTTTGGTTGACAAGACAAATCTACAATTAAAGGACTTACCATTGGGCCAAGAACCATATTAGATACTTATAAATGTCTATACATTATACCATGCATGCTAGCGTGCAAGTTTTGATTCTTAAGTACTAGGTGAATCAACATACCCTTTATTATGACCAAATTTACTAAGGAAGATACCTATTGCTAGGGTTGCAAACAAGCCGAGCTCGAGCCTTGAGCCGAGCTTTGTAGGGCTCAAGCTCAACTCATTTGTCTATTGAGCTCAAAAATCTAGCTTGAGCTTGGCTCGAAAATTAATCCAACTCGAGTTTGGCTCCACTTATTAATACGAATCAAGCTCGAGCTCGGCTCGAAGCTCGATAATGGTTTTTTTTACTATTATTTATGTTGTTTAAATGTATAAATAATATTTATACATATATATATTTGTTGATCTTCAACAAAACAAAATTTTATTAAAAAAGAAGTGAAGTACAAAAGAGGACAAGGAGTCCTCAAAATAAACCAAGTACAATTCAATGCAAAAGAAAACAAGAAACTATACGTCGCACACTGGCACACAACCTCTAGAGATTAGAAAAAGCATAACCCCTTTAAAGGGGGAAGCCACCAAAACCCAAAAAGATGTCAAAAGATGGAGTTTTATCACACAAGTGATCCAAATCCCCAAATATGTCTTCAAAGATCCTTTCATTTTTTTCCAACCAAATGACCTAAAAAATTACAAAAACCACACAACACCATAGCACCTTTGCCCTCCTCTTGTCGCCCAAGCCTCAAAAATCAATCAAAAACCATATGGGCACTCACTTCCGGGGCAACCCACAGTGCATTTCCCAAAAGAAATAGCCTATGCCATAAACTTAAAGCCACGAGGCAATGTAAAAATAAATGATTAAGGACACCCCATCTCTTTTGCACATGATGCACCATTGAGGATACAGATAGCGATTAGGCCTCCTCTTTTGCAAAGTATCATTGGTCTAAATGCTTCCATGAACCATCAACCACATAAAAATCTTCACCTTGAGAGGCACAAAAACTTCCAGATACTTTTATAGAAAGGAAAAGAAGGTACACTTGATTTGTCAATGATCATATCAAAAAGGATTTACAAGAGAAAACCCTCGAAGCATGAAGTAGCCAAACCCTCTTATGACCCACATTTGGAGTTAAAGAAAACCGATCAATCCGGGAAAGCAAAGAAACCAATTAAAGAAATTAATATATATATATTATTTAAATAATAAACGAACCTAGCTTATTTGAGCTTGAGCTTGAGCTTGACCTTGACCTTGACTCATTTTTTAAACAAGCCTAAAAATCTGGCTCAATTTCATTTATTTACTTAACAAACCAAGGTCGTGAACAACTTGGTTCATTCCTACCTATGGTAGTAACACAATAACAATGTATTTTGATAGTAATGGTTTCAACTCTATATACCTTCCCTCTTGTTACCTTTTATTTCTTTCTGTTATGCTTAAAAATGGTACAATGGGGGAGTTGGTTGGTTGAAACCTTTATCCTAGAATACACAATCAAAACGATTAAATCAAAATATGCACACAAGTTCCCACTGGCCTACCATGCATTTTTGTGTGTGAGAGAGAGAGAATCTTAATACCAAGACTTTTTACAAGAAACAAAAAATTGAAAATTGGATAAGACATATAATTTATAAAACTAAAATGAACTTCTTAACAACAACACAAAATTCAAAATGCAATGTGTTGGTGCATAAAATGCACATATTTTATTTTAATATTAAAAAAAGACATTTTATTATACCAACACAATGATATAAGAGTATCTCCAACGCTTACTAAAATTTTTCATTAAATTTGAGTAAAAATTTCATCTGATACCATGCGTTCCAATGCTGATTTTTCAATTTTCATCAAACAACCAGTTGACCAGGTGGACGTCCGGAGAAAATATACGGATGATCGTTCGGCTTGTGTAAATTGACGACATCTGAAAGGAAAAAAATTTGCAAGCTCGGTTGACCAGGCGGTTGTCCTCACCGGCCGTTTGGTGTAATTTCCCCAACGGCTATTTACAGTAATTTAATGAAATGCTGAAGGCGTACTCAATTTGATATTAGTTTGATGTTATGTTTGGAACACCAAACTGGACTTTTTTCATCAAATTTAAATTTGCTAATAATAAAAAAAATTTAAAAAAAGGAGTAAATGTTGGAGATGCTCTAAGAAAACCAATCCCAAATGACAAGTTTCAAACTGGTAAAACTTTCCCGCCCAAACAGACCCTGTATACCATTAATTTCAAAACTCTTCCATCACAGATCAATGACCAAATATCAAATTACATTCCATCGGCGCACACGTAATCATAAGAGAAATATTAAACAGGACCATTCTATCTAATTTCAAGCACATTATAACGAATAAATCGATATATAGAAGACAAATCTAGATCGAGAAACGAAATCAAAACAAAATCATGAATAACCATAGATGCTATTGATGAAAAAATAAGAAATCAATTGATCAGATTCAAGGCTACAGATCAACAAACCGTAGAGGTACGAAATTGTCAAACCTAAATCAAAAAAATTCGAAGAAATTGGGGCGATAAGGTCAAAAGCAAGAAATCTGAATTCAGAGAATGAACTGTCACAATATGAATTGTATATATACATATAAAGATGCATAGAGAGAGAAATTCATACCTCTGGAGATTGCCGGCATGAACATCCTCGCAAATCTTCGCAAATTGCATAGGAGTTGTTGGACTCGTTATGAAGGTTGGTCCTCTTTTGCAACTTTCTCGACTTTTTATTTTACCGGATTACCCCTCTATTTATTATGGTTTATGGACTCAGCCCACTAAAAAAAAATCATTAAATAAAAGTTTTAATGATATTTTTTTTTAGTAAGTTTGAGGTCAAGAATAATATGAGGTTAAATTATGGAAGAAGTACCAATAAATTTTATTTTTATATTTTATTAATTAATAAGTCATTTAAACAATTTAATGAATTTAATAGTTCTATTTGTGTAGAAATGATAATGGGGTGATTTGGGAAGTTGGTTAAAAGTAAATTTTTTTTATTCTTTTTGTTATTTTGTGTATAAAAAATGTGAGAGGTGATGTGATTTAAAATTGATTAAAAGCTAAATGCTAGTTTTTAGCTAATTTCCCAAATTGCTCCCGTATAATTTTACAATTTACACTTGTGAATGCTAGTTAATACCCATAAATGACCAAAATTCTCACAGTTTGAAATTGCACATTTGCCTAAAATTTATGAAGGAATTTTTTTGTTCCTTCTGAAATGTTTGAAAAATCTCACATTTTATGATATTCCAAATCAAAACCCCACACTTTGAAATTAAACATTTACCCAAAACTTACTAAGGAGTTTTTGTACTCCTTTTGAAATGTTTGAAAAATCCCACAATTCAAATCATTCCAAATCAAAACTTCACAGTTTGGAATTATACATTTGTTCAAACCTTACTAAGGGATTTTTATACTCATTTTGAAATATTTGAAAAATTATACATTTGTCCAAAACTTACTAAAGAATTTTTTGTAATTCTTTTGAAATCTTTGAAAAATCTCCACATTTCAAGCCATTTCAAATCGAAACCTCACAGTTTAAAATTATACATTTGCTCAAAACTTACTAAGAGTACCTCCACCCAATACTTCAAATCTTATGTGGCACTCCAATAGTCATATTTTGATATCAAATATCAACTCCATCTGGTGTACCGAAAGCTAATGTGGTTTTCGACATTACTCTTTCATACTAATTTTGACATGAAAACCTTCGACACCTTTTTTTTCTTGTCTTTTTTTCCATTTCTTTTGTCTTGAATTAAAACATCTTCTTTTTTTTTGTCTTCAATTAAAAATAATATAAAATAGATTAACATATCAGGTAGAGAGCTTCTATATCAATTTGCTACCTAGGCCTTCAAAAAAATTTAACATGACAAATTTTGAAGATTTGGGTAGAGATGCTCTAAGGGGTTTTTGTACTCCATTTAAAATGTTTAAATAATCTCACATTTCAAACATTTCATATAAAAAAGATTCAGTTGTGTATCTTACCTTTTTCGCACAAAAGAAAAAAAAATAAAACATAATAGAAATAAGTGTATAATCGTAAACCCAATTTTTAAAGAATATATTACGGGTGATTCTATTTATACACTACTAACACTATCAGTACACACCATTAATAGATTAAATTTATATTCCAATAATATCTTTCAATGAAATGACTATTGTACGGGGAGGAAATAATTCTCCTCGTATAATCCTGTTGACCAAGTCCACGCTTCTCCGTACGACGTCGCTTTGTCACCTGAAAACACAAACGTGAGCTAGCCGGCGGGTGTGTGCCGGAAACCTCTCCGATGCCTAAGTCAGAAAAACTTGACGAATAGACAAAGCTCTAAGTTCTCAGAAAGATTGTGTTCAATTACCTCCTCCAAGGTGATGCTTGTGAGCTTTTATAATTTTCCCGTGGCACAATCCTAGTAGGACTTGTATTTCTCCATGCAGAGTCCTCCTAGGATTCATTCTCCTAAGGATAATGCTTATCCTTTTACACCCTCCCCCACTGCTTAAACCAAGTGGGATGGTTTTCTTTATGGCCGAACTTCCATTTGACCGAAGTAAAATTGGCTATACCGAGCCACAGAGGGCCGAACTATCCTTAGTTCGGTCTTCTCCTCTAACTCCTTACTTCGGCTGCCCTGTTCAACCTTGATGTGCTTAGATCAAACTTCCAAGTAACAAGTTCTGACCGACCTAACCATTGTAAGTCACGACCGGACTAATTCCGAAACCGGCCTTCCCAGAACATACTGTGACCGGACTAACTCTGAGACCGGCCTAACTCCGAGTTGCCTCCGGACCGGAGTAGCTTTGCCATTCCTTTAGCCGAAGTAACTTCATCATTTGTGAGCCGAAGTAACTTTGTCTCCCCAAGGTCGGAGTAACATTGCTCTCCTGGGCCGGAGTATTCATTACGGCCTTTTTACCTAGTCCTTCGTGTTTTGGGCCTCAACGCCCAACTCGCAGCTCGGCCCAATTTTCCCAAAAATTACCCTCTCAACTATTAAGGATAATATGGGGTATATTCTACCCATTCAAAAATTTCATCTTTAAAAGTATAAAATACTCTTCACACACGATCATCTCTATAGGGTTTAGAGTTTCAACATATAAACATTGTATTCCTTTATCATTTTCACCATTAACATACACTAATGATCATTCTTTATCAATTAGCTCACTTCATTCTCTTCTCCATTATACTTATTTTTCTAATTTCCTTTGAAGATTTAGGGTTTAAGAACATTAAAATCAATTAGTTTTGAAGTTTTGCACACCATGGATGATACTGAGATGGTTGGTTCTGATATAAATATTGAAAACATTAATTTTAATATTGAAAAGGTTAGTTTATGACTTAGTTTTTTAGTTTTTTATTTGTTTCGTTCGTATGTTAGAAAGATAAGTTTATTCATCATGTTTGGATAACTAGAGTTGAACATTTACACAATGTTCGACTATTTATATTTGAGGAAAATAAGTTGAAGTTGTTCAGTATATAAAGTATGAACATATTAACTTTTGTTCAATATAAATATTATGAATATATTTACTTTGTTCAATTTTATTTTTTTTTTGTACAATAATATTATGTTTAAACAACTAGAGTTGAGCCAAATTAGAAATATAAATTGCTATGAAAGTTCAATGGGTAAATCAAATCGAAGGTCTCTGTTCTAAATAATTATTAGCCACAAGTTGAACCCAATCACTTTACTCAGAGCAATCGTGAATACACGTGATGCAATTTGCATTTGTAAAAGTTGAAAAAATGGAAATGAGCTTTTTACTATTTTTATTATGGAATTATGGTGGAGTTATGGAATTATGAAAGAGAAATTTGAGACCAAAAAGATGGAGAGAATATGGAGAGAATTTACATACCTTATTATGTTGGCATAAAGGCCAATATATAGACTTACAAGAGGTGAATACAAACAAAATATAACTTAATGCCTATCTAACTCCATATCTAACATATCTAGCTTTGCAAGACTTTACGTCCAAAAGTTGCAAAATTTCTAACTCTTTAGGCAAGCCTAGTCATAGGCTTTTTGAAAAGTCTACCTAAAAGTAAATACAAAGAGACAAAAATAAATACAAAAGGACTACAATTATTTGCTCTTTGCTACAGTTGTTACAATTATATACACTGATACACACTGTCTACCCTCCTCGGTTTTCAAAGAGAGAGACTGTTGTAGATAAGCGTTGGCTGAGCGGCTTTGTCATGTAGCGTCGACTGAAATAATGTGGCTGATCACTTTCCGCCTAATAATGCAGGTTGCTCCACGTGTCCTGGATAAGGTTGGAGTCGATCAGGAGACAACTGCATTTGATAGTGGGGTCCACTATGCTTCCATCCTGTTGATGAGGTTGTGATATTCTTCATCAGTCTCTGATAGAGGGGAATCCAGATCTTGGCTGTATTGCTCATTTCGGAAATGTTCTACATCATCCGCGGTCATGGCTAGTTCCAACGGAAAATCCAAATTATTTCTCTTTTTAAGATTTATTAATATGTCAAGAGCCTCATTAATTTGTGTAGGAGATCTTTGATATGTTATGGGAAAATGGGTTACAAATAATATTCTACCATCTGTAACCATGAATGGCAATTTTGCTGAGCCATGGATGTTGGACGCTGCTTGTGAAACAGATATTAGACTGTCTATCCAATATTCTGTCAAAGAAAGTTTTTGAATATTTTCCAATCGCTCTCTCCGGTGATCTTCATCTAAATAATCATCTTCCAATTCAAAATCTTCAGTTTCTTTAAGATACCAAATTTGGTATGGTTGGAAAAAAATGTTCTCGTTCTCGCCAACCAACAGTGCTAGAGATCCAGAAAGTAAAACATTTGCTCCATCGAAAGCCTTTTACTATCCATGAGAGCATTGCTTTGATGATCATTGGATAATCTATCCATTGGATTGGATCTAAAATTTAGAAAATAACTTGATTAGTTATTCCCCAATCTATATCCTCAAAAAACCACATGTCATGGTTTGCCATGATGGTTATTTTGGGAATTCCATCTTTCAAATTTAATTTATCATAAGATCGTTCTAAGATTTGTCTAATCTTATCATGATGATCTTCAACCCAATTTTTGATTAACATAAAAATTTCTTTGGGAAGCAAAGTTCTTGCTTTTTCAAAAAGACAAATTCTTTTTATTTGTTCAAAAACTGAATCAGAAAACTCATCTGATATGAGGTCTGATAGTTGAAGAAAATTGTTTATTTTTTCGAAATTAAAATCTTCATTCCAATTCATTTGTTTAAGAATATTGAAACAAAGATTTTACAAATCTTTTAATTTAGTTGTTTGCTCAGCTAATTTGTTGGCCAGAACTCCCATGTGTTTTTGAAATTTCACTTTGTTGTCTACAATGTGAGTTTTCCAAACTCCATTGAGTTCCGTATAAATTTCTCTGGATATACTAGGGTTGAAAAAATCTTTTATTTCAGATTCATCTAGTCTAGATGTCTGAATATTAGCTGGAACTGGATTAGTTCTCATTTGACAAAAATTCTTTTGATAAACTGACATAGCGGGTGCACTATAAAAAGCTTTTTTAGCTTTAGTCATGCTGTCATATGCTTTATGGCTCGCTCCTGAACATCCACAAACTTGCAGATTAGCTTCGTTCCAGTCTGTGTAAATTCCAGGTTGTCTTCCTGCAAACACAACATAAACTTTTTCTTCTCTAGGGATTGCTTTTTTAGCAATTG